TTTATTTAATGGGAATAATGAATGTAAGTATTAAGAGAAATTGCAGTACATACCAGCCTCTCAATTGTTACTGGCCGAGAAGTCAAATTTGGAGACGACAATGACCAGGACGACGATGATGACAATGACACTAACAATGGCCTTGATGTCGAAAGTGACGATGACGCTAACAATGACGATGACAACGACGACAACGATAACGTTGGTAAAAGTGACGGAAATGAGTGTGGTGTTGATGAGTGTGATGATGATAATGGTGACTGTAAACGTGACGATGACGACAGTGATCCTGGTGATGGCAATAATGGCGGCAACGACGACAATGATGATGATACTAACAATAACCTTACTAACAATGACGATGACAACGACGACAACGATGACGGTGGTAATAGTGATGGAAATGGTGACCGAAAACGTGACGACGAGGACGGTGAGCTTGGTGATGGCAATAATGGCAGCGAACACGACGGGACAGGGTAGCTATCTTTGTCAAGTCTGGCAAATCCTGGCAAAGTAAAATTTGTGAGAAAAAGATAACATTAGCGATAAACACGGGACGAATGATACGATAATTTCTCCAAATCAAATGACAGATTAATCAGTTCTTTACTAAGCAAACCTTACTGATCAGAATTGCGTTCCTTTTAAATGTTTCTTTATGGGGACAAGAGAGAGACAACCATAAATTGTTTAATGGTACTGCCGAGAATTTCAATAAACTAACTAAAAGCACTGAAATGGGTCGTCACGTACACTTCAAATTTGATCTTGCCGAGACCGCCATAAGTTTACTAAACCAAAGAAAATCCCAAGGAGAGGGAGACTGATTCAATTCAAAGTTTTTATTACTTTGGACGTAAATTGTGATTTGAATACACTTCACTGTGCCACTAGTGAAACTAGTTGATTTTCCAAATTTTAGATCCTGCAACACTCAACAGTCTTACTGCTGTTCGCTCGCACTGATTACCAGTGCAAATTAATTTTTAGCCAGCAAATTACGATAGAGCGGGCATTTTTCTTGGCTTCTTACTTTTTTGTTTCTTTCGCTGCAAGAATGCCACCATGTTAGTGTTATCCGATTTCACAAAAAAATGGAAATGCAAATTCGCTCTTTAAAAGGAAAACATATGGCATAATACTTTACTCTCTGAATAAACAAAATTTAAGAGAGATGCAGAAAAATACAATATATCTGGCGCAGTTTACGTAATGAACTCATCTGTAATTCTCATTTTTACTATTTCATTTAATTATTACTATCATTATTTTTATCATTACTTCAGGAAATTAGATAGTGCACGGACAGGAGCAGTTATTCCTGAATAAACTCCAACTCTTACGTTGAGACAGGTAACGGAAAATGTCTCCACGTTTTTCAAAGTCTGTCGAGATGATTTTATGACAAAAATATATTTTTTATTCCTTTTTTAAGGGAGGGGGGTTGCCTAGTAGATGGCTCCTTTGGGATTAGTTTCTGAAGCATAATTACGATGGATTTTCCTGCCCAATTTAGAAACTTATGGCGAGAAGAATTACGATGAAAACTTCCTCTGTTTAACTATGTCAACTTGATGAATCAACAATGCGATAAAGGCTAAAAATTTAGATGGGAAAGAAAGGATGGAGATTAATATTCCATTTTTCTTTTTGATTTTCAAGGGGTCTTAAATCGTGCATGCGTTATCTTAGTCATTCCAGAGAATCGATATCTTTAATCTTATTCACCGGGCTGAAAATAAACCTTCTTTATTTACATTGCCGCGTAAGAGTTACACCTCAAAACTAATTAAGTTCGATTAAGCTTATACCTGACAAGCGTTATCTATAGTTCAGTAATAATTATATACCTGCTTCTAAAAGTATGCCCTCGTTTTACAGGAACAAGAAAATTTAAAAGATGCTATCGCTATCTGCTGCCGTATTTTCCCGCGAGTGACTTTGGGAGAGCAAGAAGGTCGAATCGTGCCCGAGAACTCTGAAGAAGTTATTCTTTTTTGGAGTATGCTTGTGATACTAATAAATTGAACAAAATTTTATGATTTAGAAAGAACTTTGGTACTCACTCAATAAAGTTACTGAAAATAGGACGATTCCCCAAATCTGACAAGCTTTCGCTAACATTTCTCTTTTTCTGTTTGGGTTACGTTTCTCTTAGCTTTACACTCGACCAGTTCTGATCTTTTTTCCCCAAATTTTTATGAGCAGAATATCAGTTTAAAATTCCTTCTGGCAGTATCAGGTTGGTAGCAATTCCCGTTTGGAAAAATATTTTTCCGGATCAGTCTCATGGCAAAAGAACAAGCTTCCAGCGTGTGTTGTTTTGAACAAAATCAGCGTTCTGTTGCTAATTTATTACACAGGAAGTTGAATGTCATGTAAATTTTTGACGTCTTGTCTCCGTTCAAATTTAATCTAAAGAACTCAGACTTTGCACATATTTAAAACAAGCATAGCAAAATTATCGATTAACATCGTAACAAACTGCTTCACTACATTCCTTATTATTCTTTTAAAAGAAGAGAGTGGACTAAAATGTTAAATAATTATATAGAGTCAAGCTCAAGAGAGTAAATTTTTGGTATCGATTGCAAATTTTCATTCTTGCGGTCTACCATTAGCCACTGGGAATCTTTGTTTATTTAGCTATTTAAGAAACCATCTCGGTGATTTAAGAGCAGTAGCATAACACAAGCTAACACCGAACAAATATGGTTTTACTTCGAGGAAGTTTCTAATTTCAATCGATTCGCAAAGCTCAAATGACTGTGCTACCATACTTTACCTTTTTACGACGCTCTTCACCAGGAGTAGTTAGGTATACTGTTTGTATTGTATTTTTCTTTTGGATACATTAGTCTGGAATTCCGAGGTATGCCGAGCAGTCCAATTGGGAAATACCACTGAGACATACAAAATGGGCGAGTAGTCAATACTTTCTCAGGGACATTTAGATTTTAAACCCACCTATTCGTTTTCGCGCGGTTTTCTTAGCTAGTTTCTTCACGTTATGCAAAACAACAGGTCGGTTATCCGGAAATTATCCCCGTCTGCCTCGATAATTGTCCCAAGCTTAGATTAATAATTAAATAAGCTGGTGAAAAAGAGCCAACTCTTTGAGTTTCACCTTTTTACATGGAGAAAAATCAAAATTTCTCAATGTTTTGTAATATCCTATGATAGTAACCTTTAAAAGCCGATTTCAAACGCTGGTCAGGACTGTAAAAAAAGTCAAGACAATATGCTATCGACGCGGAATATGAAAAATTATGAGGGGTATTGTTCACATCTTCCCTCAAAGCTTTACCTTTGTGTCAAATGTTCCCTTTTTGGACAGTCTCTAAGCGGCGACAATCATCGGACTGAGGCGATTTATTTACAAATTAATGAGACATCAAAAATGTGTATCCCGCCAAAGAACGACGAATGTCGTAGGTTCCTCGATATATTGTTGTACCTATATCTCTCTAGATGGAGATTTCCTTAAGATAATCGCGAGATAGCTCTGAAATCTCATCTATCCTTTTTCTAACGTTGCGAGAGGAGAAATGAGACATAGACACAGGATGTCTGCATCCCCCACCCCACCCCCTCCTAATTTATCTGTAAAAGAAAGCGCTATATTCGAAAGTCTTCATTTACATTACTTTTGCACAGTACTGTAAATTGCACCTGTCTGCAATTCGTATCACACTAAGGTGAAAAATTATTTTTGCAGTGTTTACATATCCTCATCTAAACACTATGAAGGGTCGAGGGGCGGGACAGAGGAGGAGGGGAAGAGGGGTTGGGGGGGTGGAGGTTGAAATAGATATTCTTCGGAAAACAAGTCTGATGAAAAGCCATTTTGTTTTTTTCACGTTTACAACATTCCTCCACGTAAGATAAACTCAAGGCATTTCTTGCTCAGGTGCATTTTTACCGAAGACGTTGGTTCCATTTTTTCCCATTAATTCGCAAATTTTAATCCATTGAATCCGCTGCGTTTAATCAATTTGAGAAGTTTAACAGTTAGCATTAACCGCTACTATCACAAAAGCAAATAGTATTTGCGACTTTACTGGTAATTTAACTGCTCAAATAATATAAAAAGGTGACGCTATCGTGAAATTTTAGTATAAAATTGCGCGCTAAATTTCATAGAAATGTGTATCATAAAAAAGCGTAGGACTGTTTAAAGACACTTCAGTATTGACTGCATGACCGCAACATTTCAACTAAATAATAGGA